AAACACGAAGCTCGGGCTCATACTTCTCTGCAGCGTGGCGTCGCTTTCCTCTCCGGAATTCATGGCAAAGCGGAGTATACTCTTTTTCCCCGTTAGGATTTTTTCGCACAGGGTTTTTCCTCAGCGGAGTTTTTAATGAGGTACCCCTTTGACATGACCATGGAAGAGCAGCACCCCTGCCGAGCAAACGTGCCCAGGAAATTGAAGATTTACTCTCTCTCACCTCAAGTTTCACTTTCGCCTCGGAGAGTGGGGGACTCATGATGGAGTATATTCCCGTATACCCCAGGGGTACCACGATCGCCGGTAGAGAGCCTTGCGGGTTCATCAGAAGCGAGAAAATACTAAGCCCACATCTGGATCTGGCCCCGACCCCGACCACCGAGGTCGGGAAGCACCAAGTTCAGGAATCAAGTAAACTCAGCAGATAACAGAGTCCACCGACCCCGACCTCGAGGTCGGGAAAACATCGAGCTCAGGAGCCAACTAAACTCGACGATTCATGAGCCCGACCTCGGGACGTCCGAGGTCGGCGCCAAGTCTGACCTCGGAAGTCTCACTCCAGGTCAACGTCAATCGAAGCATTAGGCGGTCAAACCACTTCCAAAGCAAGAATGGAAGACAGCAGAACGAATCCTCTCAACATGGGTCCGAGCCCCCAGATACCGACCTCAGTAATCCTCGAGGTCGGGAGAAAAGCACCATGTACTTAGAACAAGATGAGTTCGTGACGTAACATCGCCACGTCACTCTCCTCGCTGAACGAGATATACCAGATTACTTGCGTACAACTACACGGGATCTTTTGCAAGAGTTCTGTTATAGAAATGATCAATCAACCAGTTACCAGAGGCTCTCTCTCTCCGATCAACTTTCCACGTGGCTGCTCCCGGCCCATTTAGTCTGGTAGTTTGTTAGAATAACTTTACACGTGTCCCTCTCCTATTAGACTAGTGTCTTTTTTCTTGGGCACCAAGTATTTCCATTTCTCCTTAGTATAAATATCACCTTCCAACTTGTGGAAACGGATCGAATTTTAGAGGCTTGAGCTTTTATCAATCGCACTCTAAATTTCATACTGTGAGACTTGCAAACCAGTTCGCTCTCCCCATTTCCTCTCCTACACTCGGTGGATTCCGGCCACCCCTGGTCCGACGATCCATCAATTCTATTCTTCATAAAGATCATCGGCCTCGCGCAGCGTAAGACCAAACGGCGAGACAGTGGACCGGTGAGAAGATGGTTGAACGAAAATCAGGGGAACCCGCTCGTCTCCAAGATGACGTTCTGTTCTTCATCAAGATCATCGGCCTCACGCAGCGTAAGACCAAAGGGCGGGACGGAGGACCGGTGAAAAGATGGTTGAACAAAGGAAGGAAAGTGACGTTAAAAAAAACCGAAATTACCCGCCAAAAGGCCTATCATCCACTGTGGAGACGTATGACTCCAATGCTCAAGGCACCTGGGGCAGCCAGCCAACGCATCTGGAACCATTTTCCCGCGGACGTTCGTACCCACCACGAGATGAATGCCGAGTGCGTATGCAGGAGACGCCCGCCTCCACAAAGTTCGGTAAACCAAGATCCGGGCGCGAGATGATCCTCATTCGCAGTACGACCGGCCCCTCGGCACCATCATGTGCAGATAAGGTCATGAATCTTGGGGAGGACTCGTAGCGGGGACAAACATCTCCACTTCAGAGGCCGAGGGTCTGAAGACAAGCATCTCCACTTCAGAGGTCGAGGGTTTGGAGACAAGCATCTCCACTTTAGAGGCCGAGGGTTTTGGAGACAAACATGTCCACTTCAGAGACCGAAGGTTTGGAGACAAGCATCATCCACGAAGAGGCTGAGGGCAACGAGATGAGCCTCACAGTCGAGGGCCGTGAGACGCACAGCATATCCAGAGACCGAGCCTGCTGAGGCTGAGCGTATCGAGATCATGACATCCCAAGAAGAACCAGCCTGGCATCCGGAGTACGGACGTCCCCAGAGACAAACAACAGAGAATACCCTCCTTCTAGACGGGAAGACGTATGTCCCCAGCGGCTGTCTACATAGACGGCCGGGTACGGAGATCTAGTGAATAAGGAAGCAAGAAGTCTGGAGATCCAGAATACAACAGACAACCGTCGCGTCAGGGGCGTCGGCTAAAAGCAGTACACCGGACGATTTTCCCCTAAGCCTAAACCTTCTGGTGAGACCTGTCGGAATTACTTACAGGGGCGTCGTTTCCCTCTTCGGATTTCATGGCAGAGCGGAGTATACTCTTTTTCCCCTGTTAGGATTTTTTCCCACATGGTTTTTTCCTCAGCGGAGTTTTCAATGAGGTACCCAACGGTATTAGATGGTGACGTACGTCGGATTCAATTCTACTTCCTTATGTCCCGCGCACGCTCGGAACATCAGAAGTGGGGGACTTGTGTTGGGTTAATGGCCCAATGGGGGTTGGCCCATTAACCCTTAAGGCTCATGCGGACGAACGTCCCCAGAAGGCCCAAGACAACGGGATACCCTTCCGATTATCCAAGGGACATACATATCCTAGTGTAGGTGGGTACTTTGGCTCAGGGGCAGAACGAGACGCACGTCTCGCAGGACTTGGCCCAGCTGAAAACAGGAGGCAAGCCCCATGGGGACGAACATCCCCATAAGGCCCAAGACAATGGGATACCCTTCCCCATCATCCAGGGGACGTGCGTATCCTAGTATAGGCGGGTACCATGGCCCAGGGGCAGAACGAGATGCACGTCTCACAGGACTTTGGGTCCAACAGGAAACGGAAGGCAAGCTCATGGGGACGAACGTCCCCATCCCTTGGCGGACAACCAAGATCCTGGCGGGATTCTGCATTTAATACAAAATATTTGGTGGTTGTGCATTTAATGCAGAAGATCTTGAGTCGGGATCAAGCTAGGCAAGCCCATGAGGACGAACGTTTTCACCCCTTGGCGGGAAGCCGAGATCATGGTGATTGCGCATTTAATGCAGAATATTTGGTGGTCGGGATCAAGTCATCCACAACAAGGTTCAATGCATCTAGCTACTCATTGGCGGTATAAATAGTAGCATTTATTTCATTATAACGGATTAGAACTTAGTACTCTAGTATTATAGCATTCATAGCAGCTCGTAGCATATCTGGGGACGAACGGCCTTACGCCTCTGTAACCCCTTCAGTATAATAAGACTTCTTATTGGGCCTCATCTTACTTGTTTGATCGTACTCTCCTAAATTATCCACTCGAAGCCCTTAGGTTGTGTGTTGGGTCTACGGGTTGAAGGGAATAAACCTCAACAAGTGTAAAAAGATGCATAAGGGCATGATAAAATATATAGGTATTATTTTTTGTTATTGTCTATAATAATCATGATATAATTCCAATTACTTGTAGAATTAATCTGTACTGCTTTACATATCTCATCCGGTACTTGTATTGGATGAAATAAAACTTTTCAACTCTTTTATTACTTATTTATTGATTCTTACATTTTTTGTTAACTTAATAAATATAATTCGTTTTGAAGACATTTAAATGTTATTGATTCACGTGTATTTATTTTAGTAGTCAATAAGTGTAAAGTTAAATGAAAAAATAAATAAATAAAAAGTTAACCAAAAAAATACTAAGAGTGTATAACTATATAGTCCGTACATGTCTTTCATTAGAGACCTATGGGCTACGGAGTATTATGTATTATGTAAAAAAGTGAATCACCCAACAACAAATGTTGATGTGTATGGCGTTTAGAAATATGTTTTTTTGTCTGCTTGGGATGAAGAATTTCATTTAAAAGATTATTCAGCAAACATATTATTTAGCCAATGATTATTATGACTTTAGTTTATGTAAGTGTTAACTAACGCCAATGATTGAAATGGCTAATAGATATGTAGGTGCACAAAATATAGAGGTCATTTGACAGCACTTTTTTTCGGCTTATCAAGCTTATCAGCCAACTTTTCATCACACACGTAACTTTTACTTTTACCAAACACTGGCTGAATTGTGTAAGGTGAAAAGTTAGAGTTATTATAACTTTGCGCGATAAATTGTGTAATAAGCGGAAAAATTAAGGTTGAAGTTACTTTTCTGATTGTATTGTCTGAAGTTACTGTAGATGATCATTTTAGCTATTTTTACATATAATTTTTCCTTTATTTTATTAATAAAATATATTTTGAAAAGATTTTTTCGTAAATCAGCAGAATCAGCCAATACAACCACTTCACCCAAAACTTCATAAATTTCAGCAGAATCAACCAAATCAACTGATTTTCATGCTATCAAAGGGGCTCATAATATGGTGGCATTTATTCACGACTAAAACGAAATAAAGGCTAGTTCTCAAAGCAAAACAAAAGGCCGTAACCGAAACTTTTTCCCTCAAAATGGATTGCACACAATAAATAAATAAATAAATAAATAAATAAATGCAGAGTAAATAAATAAATAAATAAATAAATTTTTCAACCAACTAAGATATACGTTTAGACGTCATTTGGCAACTCTCATATTCGGCTTATCAGGCTTATCAGCCAACTTTTTTACCAAACACGTAAATTTTGCTTTCGCGCGCTGAATTGTGTAATAAGCCGAAAAAGTAAGGTTGGAGTTACTTTTCTGGCTGTATTGGCTGAAGTTACTGTAGATGACCATTTTAACTATTTTTACATATAATTTTTTCTTTATTTTAATAATAAAATATATTTTAAAAATATTTTTTTCTTGTATCAGCAGAATCAGCCAATGCAACCACTTCAGCCAGAAATTCATAAATTTCAGCAGAATCAACCGGAACAGCCGATTATCATGTTGCCAAACGGTCTCTTAATTTAGAATTGTGTGTATCGTTTTTTTATGGAGTACAAGACAATCCGCATATCCTTATTTATTTGGTAGTCAACTCCCTGTTGGAACATAGGTTGGTCAGTTATGTGCTTTGTCTCAATCATAAAAGGTGATTGAAGAGGTAGGGAGGCTCAAAACAGTACAACAATTCTAGGGCAAAATGCATATAGCTCCATAATAATTACCCATTAGGTAAGAGTAACAGCTTTCATTTACTATTCATCACAAGCAAAATCTCACCTTTTTAGGTCCACACAGCAGTACATACCAAAAAACCCCAACTGTTCCCATCAAGCTTTTAACCCTCTTTCCACACTACTACTACTACTCTTTAGTCTTTACTACAACTACTACTGCACTTTCACCATTCTTGCAACAAAATACACTTTCCAATCCCATCATCATCATTATTATCCTACAATACTGATAATAATATTGATAATGATGATTTTCCCATCTCTTTTGCATTTCCCAATGACCTAGCCCTCCCCATTGTACTATCAACTCATGAACTGCATCCATCTTTCACTCATCGCTCATCTCCCAATGTTGCTTCAACATACACAAGAAGGTTGCAAGCAGCTTGCAAGAAATCCCCATACCCTTCTCTCCTGCAAAGTACAAACACCATCCAATCAAACATATTTTTGAAATTATTATAACTCTAACTTTAAAAATCATTAAAAACGATATGGTATGATGATAGTAAGTACAGTTTAATGGGCCGTACATGTTTGGGCTTGGCGTAGAGCAGATCCGGAGAGATTTTGTAGAGATCTTCGTCCACCGCCTTCGGCGCCCGTCTTGGCAGCGGCGGCGAGGCAGCGGCTGAGCATTGTTTCAAACCAGATTCACAATCGCATCCGCAAACCACCCATGCATCGTTCCCCTCTTCCAGACCTTTCTCTCCTTTTCTGTACGAGCCGCCTTTCCCCTGTTCACGCCCGCCCGCCACAGATTCCAGAAATTAGGGCGTAAGATTAGGAAAACAACATTTCGGTTTTTTGTCTATTTTCCGAGGGGCTAAAATCAATAAATAAATACCTTGCGGCGAGGAACGACGATCATTGCCGGAGTGCCGATGCGGTTGTCGTAGAGATCTCTGGCGACGTACAAATCGCGGTCCTCCGCGTAGCTGTACCGCAGCAGGCCGGCCTGGGTGGCGGATTCGAAGCACTGAGTGAACGGAATGGGGAAGTCGTCGTTGCAGTCCCAGCTTCCGAACGCCGGAACATGGCTCTTCCTGGTCCAGTAGCCGTAGTCCTGTTTGGAAATTTCATATATCAAACAACGAAAACGAGACAGATATGAGATGAATGAATAACTGGAGAAGAAGGAGGTTGAAGTAATTACAGATGCATCCATGGCGAGAGAGTTGAGATGCGGAGAATTATCCGTTCAACTGGCAGTTCTGTTGCGGTGCGGGTTTGAATGTCAGAGAAGAAAGGTTGGGAAGGGGGGCTTATAAAGGGAGCGGAAACTTTTGAATGCCCAGTTAATGAAGGTGTTAGCATGTTACTTACACCATTAATGGCCTCTTTGGAGATACATTACCCTCCGTACGCTAGTGGTTAGTTGATTAAAGTGTGTGAAATAAGTCAAACATTTTCATTACCGAAACGCATGTAATCTCCCGTCTGGATACAGATTTTGTACGGTAAACAATGCTCAATTTATGGCATTTTTATTCCAATATTACTAAAATTAATGAAAGACCAAAATGTGATTTGTTTTAAATTTTTCCAAAAAAGTGATTAAAAGTTATTTATTCTTGTTATTTAATCACACATTTATTATTTCAATAATATTCCTTTACCGCCGAACCGTCGCCGCCATTGCTCCAGTCACAGTGACTCCGGTCACAGTGACTCCGACCACAGTGACTCCGGCGCACCGACCCCAGTTACTGCACTTCCATCGGTCGTCTTCGTCACCGCCGCAACAGTGACTGCCCAACCGGCCAAAGTGACTGTGCCGTCACAGTGATTGCCCCGCCGCCGCCACAGTGACTCCGACCAAAGTGACCCCCCCCCCCCCCCCGCCCCCCGCCACCTGCTGGGCCGCCTGCGGCGGACGAGTTGACCGGCGTCACATCCTGTCGATGACGTGACGGAAGGCGGCCGGTAGAGGGCTAGAGGCGGCCGCCTGTTTGGCCGCCTATGAGATTTTTTGGCCTATAAATAGCCTGATTTTTGCTGAACTCAAACACACCATTCTTAGCCCGAAATCAGTTCAAATGGTCTTCTTCTTCCTTCTCAAAACTCGGATTTCCACCATTGTTGTACCTTCAACTTCAATCTTTCATATCTTTCTCATTTTAGCTCCAATTTGTAAATTCTTTATATGTATTTTCATCCTCTCGTCGTATAGATTCTAAATATATTGTTTCTATTTCCCAAATATTTGTAGAAAATTCTCTGAATTAATTTTAAGAATTTCGTGTTTTCCATTTTAATTCAAGTAAATTAGTTCTTGTTGTTATATTAATCTTGTACTTAGATAACATCAATTCCTAGTATAAATAATGTTTATTTGTGAAAGAAAAGAAATTTTAGATGTTGGGAGTATTCACTTTAATATTTTCTTTTGTTGTTATTATTTATGATCATATCTTATTTTATGTGTAAAATGTTAAAATTAGTAATGAGTTGTTATAGTTAATTTACTCTTGGGCATGAATTGAGTAAAGGAATATGGATTGACTTGTTAGCCGAAAATTAGGGGTTAAAATTAATTAATTGAGCTAGTTATTCAAATTGATGAATTAGTAATTAATAATTGTTAACCATTTTCATTAATTAAATTTTGGAAAATTATTTCTAACTTGTCTATGAGATTAGAAAATAATTTGAGCCAACTTTATTCAAGCACATTAATAAGGCCTAGAAATAGGATATTTTAATAAAAGGGATTTACATCTTGTCTATGAGAAATAAATTCAAATTGCTTAAATAATGAGTTTAATTAGTTAATGAATTTGGCTATTTTTATTAATTAAAATATTGGAGAATTATTTCTGTCTTGTCTATGAGATTAGAATTTAATTCAAGCCAACCATTTTTGAATGCATTAATGAAACCTAGAAATATGATAAATTAATGAAAGTAATTTCTATTCTTGTCTATGAGAAAGAAATTATTAGTCCAAATTTAGTTTTAATTCCCCTAATTACTAGGTCCTAGAATATATTCATTTCTAATTATTCAATTCATTTCCCTTCTTTGATCAATCCGTTTAGAGTTTAATATTTTATTTTTCATTTAGTTTATTTTGAGCCATCATTGGTATTTGCATAATTTAATTTACTTTCTTTTTTCAAAAACTAGTTTAGAAAATCAATCAAAAGTTTTAGTTTGGAAAGCTTCCAATAATTTGCGATAACCTGTGACTGGACTTAAAATCAAGAAACTCCTTCGCCATTTCTCAAGAGACACGATACTCGGGGAAAAACCGAAAGGTTAGACTCCGTTTTACTACAACGCCGCGAAAGCGGTTATCAGTACCCGCCGGGACTTCGCCGCCCTCGCCATCTGCGCAGATGATTGGAGGTGCCAGATAATTGATTTTGAACGGGAGTCACATGTTTGGAAGCGCAGATCTATAGGGGGAGGAAGAAGAAGCGCAGATCTATAGGAGGAGGAGGAAGCGCAGATGTATACGGAGGAAGAAGAAAGAAGCGTGTGGGTTCGGTGACAGCCAATAGTTCATTAAGCTAGAGTCACTTTTTTGGAAATGGGGAAAGAAGTAATAATTTTGGAATTCAAAAGCCCAATGGTAATATCAACGCCATTTTTTCCTAATTTATTTGAGATTTATTGCCCTAAATGGGACTAAATTCTTCCTAAAATTCTTAAATAGAACTAAGCATATTTTTTTCCATAAATAGGACTGCATTACAAATTTACCCTTATTGTTTTCCTTTCCCCTCTTTCCCCTACGATTTTTCTCCCCTGCGCATCTTTCTTTTCTTCCCTTACGCATCTTCTCCACCTACGCCGCACGCAACTTCTTCTTCCTTCCCCTTCGCACTGGAACAATCACACCTTCGAGCCCGCCACCGCTGACGTGAAGTCCTCCGCCGCTGCCTAGTCATATCCGTCGCCGCCGCTAACGCGAAGTCCGCCGCTGTCGCTGCCATCGCCGTCGGAGATCTTCTCTTCTTCGAAGGTATGTTCTCTTCTTTGGTTGTTCTCCTCGTCCTTCCTCCTGTCTTCTCTAGTTCTGTCCCTCTTCTATTTTGTTGCAGAGGCATTTCTTCTTTGATTGATAAAAAATGCCAAGTTCAATCTGAAAATGCCATCAAAATGGCATTCTTATTCTACAAAAAAAACATTTTTCTTTAAAAATGTTGGCATTCGAGTCGGGAATGACCAGATCTGAAATGATAAAGGCTAGATTTACAGTGACAGATTCCAGATTAGCTGCAACGGTGGCCGGATCTACAAGGGAGGCGGCGGGTGGCCAACAGAGGTTAGATCTGACCAGATCTTCGGCGGCGGCAACCATATCTACATCGGCAGCTGTCAGATATACATCAGCGGCCGCTTTTGAGGTGGCGGAGACATCCGGCGAACGGAGGCGATCGGCGGTCGGCGGTGGTCCGGCGTTGTGGTTGGCGGCAGTATGAGTTTCAAGCTTCAGGGGTGTTTTTGTCCAATTACAAATAATAACTCCTATTTGTTTTTTTTTTTAATTTTAGTCCTATTTTGACAATTAAAGATTTATTTACTCTCATTTAGGTAAATACCTCTTTATTTGATTAGCATTGATCTTTGACTTTTTTCTTGATCGAGTTTAGTCTTTCATTAATTTTTCGTCTTTTTTCACCAAGCAATGTCGTGGCTTTACGCTCGTCTATTTATATATAAGAAAAGAAATAGCTCATTAAAATACAAATATGTCCTTAATGAATTCTAGATGTCAATCTCTCCACAATTTGCTCATTTCCTATGGCTCTAAATCACGTGGCTTTCTATTTTAATTTCTATTTGAACAAAAGAATGTGGCATCAATTAGTTAATGTGGCCCATTGTATACAAAAATTCCATTTTCTTTAAAGTGTTTACCTCTGTCACATTAAGATTGGGACAAAAGAAGGTAGCACAATTATTAAGAAAAGTGAGTTCGCATGGTTGATATTAAATTCATAAAGTAAAAAAAAAAGAATCTAGGATGACGGATGCGGCTAGGGTTCCGGCGGCTCCTCCGCCGCCTAAACCTCCTGGATCACCGTGGAATGGAAGATCTTTTGCTGATGTGGTGGCTAATCAATCTGGGAACGCTCTATCAAAGAAAATTCCTACTCGCTACAAAGGTGTTCCGGCGATCACATTCTCAGAGAGTGATGTCCAGGAATTGGCAGAGAGATACAAGAGGGCACTGGTTGGTTATTTTTTCAAGATGCGACCGAGTATGAACAATCTGCGTAAATCCTTTGAAATCATTGGTTTTAAAGGGAAATTCGAATTGAGCCTATTGAATCAAAAACATGTTCTTATTAGGTTTGAATTGGAGGAGGATTATTTGAGGTGTTGGAATAGACAAACTTGGGTTGTTAACGGATGTACTATGTGTGTCACGAAATGGACTCCGGAGTTTAGACCAAATGTGGAATCCCCGGTGGTTCCGGTATGGCTCAGGTTTGAAGATTTACCCATCCATTTGCAGGATCAAAGGGCTATGTTTGACATAGCCAGTCTAGTTGGGAAACCTATGAAAATTTATGCAGCTACTGCATCTTTATCAAGACCTACGTTGGCTAGGATTCTAGTAGAATTGGATTTGACAAAGGAGATGCCAAACAAGATTTGAATTCAGTCTGGAGCTTTTGGTTTTATGCAGCCTGTTATATATGAGAATAGGTCGGATTACTGTACGAACTGCCTACATTTGGGACACTCAAATTTGAGGTGTCCTAAAAGGGCAGTTGACTATAGTCTGGGGGAGGCAAGTGTTAAGGATATTTGGAAGCCTAAAGCTACTAATAATACAAAGGGGATTAAGCTTACAAGAGAAGAAAAGGGGAAGGACAAAAGGTTTACTCCTACTCTTGCTATTACAGAAGTGGCCACTACTTCTAAGCATCAATCTCAAAACAAGGAGGATGATGTTTCTGAAGTAGAGGAAATTATTATGGAGTCTGCACCACAAGTCCCTGAGCTGGAGCTCACAAAACATAAGGAGGACTGTTATCAGGCTTTAAGAAAGGTTGTGGCTGCTGAACTATGTCATATGTCTTTGGTACCTGCAAAAAATCTGTCAGAAATCCAAGATGATTCAAAGGTTAAAGAACTTCACCATAATCATGAACTTGATCCTGACCTTCAGGCTAAAGAATATCATTCAGATAGTGAGACCTCTCCAAAAGTTCACCCTGATGCCTGGCAGGAGGGGTGGTCTGATATCAGGAAATTAGTTGATAAAATGAAGATTCATATGGAGGAGAAAGGTGTAATGCATGAAGAGGGGCAGATTTATGTTTTAGATCCTACATCTGATGAGCAAGGTGCGTTTACTTTGGTCACTCATAGAAGATCAAAAAGGAAGAAGGAGCCTGAAAAATCTATTACTAACAGGAATGCAACCAAGAGGAGGGATAACCAAGGGTTCTCACAGACTTCCCTTCCTTCACCTAAATGAATTGACTCATATGGAATGTAAAGGGTCTAGAAGCCTCCAATTCTAGACTTAATTCCCTTATAAAACAATGGAGAG